TATTTATACTCATGAAAATATTGAATACTGCCTATACGTAATGAAATTTTCATTATTAAACGTTTATACCGGTGAATTAACTTCAATTGCAGTTTAAGAAGTCGAGAGTTTTTACTACACTGAATACTACACTAAACAGAAGCATATTTGTAGTACGAGTTGATGTTGCAAAATATAAATTTATTAAAACATCATTTCATAACTATCCTTAAAAATTAATAAAATATTGAGTTAATAATTTTATAGATATATAGTTCTATTTGTTACTTTTGGGGAAGTTATATAGGATATATACAACTATATAAATAAATAAGAATCATATTAATTTATTAATTAATACTACATCTACAAAATTTTGCTAAAGTATATTCAATATAGATGCCGGATAAGTCATTTATACAATATACACATAATTTTGTTTTTTGATAAGACAGTGTAGTCGAATGGAACTGCAATCTACTTTAAACAGCTTAACTTCTCTCTCTGGAATGAAGTGGTTAATCCAAGTTTCTTCCATTGTTATATACCGACAAAAAAGTATTTTTCATAAAACTTCAAGAGTTCCAAACAACTCTCAGAATCATTATCACGTTGTTGCTTTTGGTCAAATGTCAACAAAGGTACCTGCTTCGAAAACAGCTTTTTTATAGATAATGTTAATGCAAAATGAAGCCCACCTGCTCTTATTATATATTTAAGGGGTCACTTTATGGTTTGTCAAAACAATTTTGTGAATTTTTTTTGATATTCACAGAGGGTTTGGTATCATCAATAGAACTGTAAGGCTTGCATCCAATTTTTAAACGTCTTCTTCTGTGAAAAGAAAATTTCAAACGATTTGTAAATTAATAAAATAATATAATTTACATGATAGAGAGTTCATTCGAAAATATCCATAGCAGACAGAGAGATACAGAAAACCCTCATCGATAGTTTTTGGGAAGTAGTATCAAGGTAAGAATCAATATTCTTACCTTGATATTTGAAAATATCCATAGCAGACAGAGAGATACAGAAAACCCTCATCGATGGTTTTTGGGAAGTAGTATCAAGGTAAGAATCAAGTATCAAGGTGAATGTATACCACAAAAATATATAAAAAGCAGTTAATTTAGAACCATAGGATATTAAACATTTTGATTACAGAATGTGAACGTTGTTGCAAGATTTTATACCGACACATTAAGCACGCATCAACATTGCAACATTAGCTGAAATACAATGATCCATTATTCCTTTTGACCGCACAGTGGCCTCTACGGTCATCAGAAATAAGTCCAATCGATTTCTCGATAAGGACAATATTAAAGGCAGTAAATGGATAAAGATACCGCGACTTCAAATTTGTCACTTTAGTGATTCAAATCCGTACTTCAGAAGGCAAACTTGTTGAAAATTCGAAATAGACTCGGAAAATTTGATTGTTTGATTTAAATGATTTGATAATGATGATAATAATGAATGAAGGCTTAAGTAAGTTAAAATAAAATGTTGCTACACTTGCATATAACTACATTAAATACACATGTCTTGACATATTCTTCTTATTTTACGTGTATTAAGTTAAATACTTAGTACTTCAATTTCATTAAGTTACTATTTCATTCATCAGTATTTTTAGCTAAAACACATTTTAAAATATCTTTAAAAATTTAAAAATTTTTGTCAATTTTAAAACTTTATTTCAAAAGTAGTTTCGTCAAAGTTTTACTTCTTGTTCATTTTATAGAACAACTGCAGAGCAAAGAATTAAGCTCAATTACCATAAAAATACATGTAGAACATCAATAAAATATCCAAGCAGCACTCACAATCAGAAATCGTGTATAAAAGTGTGTACGAGTGGCAACACTGTGTTGAAACACGTACTGGCAACATGTTACACACCAAAAATTATAGTCACTTCCTCGATTTTGATTTTAGCTAACATAATAAGTATGAAAGTAGCACGCAAAGCGGTGGAAGTGTTGCAAAATATGTTGACTCAACTCATCAAAACCGACAACAAGCGACATTACCAACAACGTCGATAGCAATAAGTGGGTGCTTGGGGGCGGAGCAGTGAAGAGCTATTAAGTGTTTCGTAATTGAAGCAAACACACATAAATACACATAGACCAAGTAATGGCAACGCATAGATGCCAATAAAGCAGATGTTATATGTACTTCCGGGTATATCGAGGCGATGCTAAGCGATGTTAAGAGTTAAGAGCAGCCTGACTAGTATAAGGTATCTAAGTGGTTTGGGTATGAGTTTACAGACATACACTTGCACAGAAGAAAAAGAAGAAATGATAGGAAGAGTGGAGGATTTCCTAATGAGTGCTTCATGAATGAATTTCTGCCACAGAATACTAATGCGATGGAAAATTCATTTTTCCACACGATT